AGTTGTATTTCAAGATATAACCTATCAGGTGAGTAGAGTGTACCATTTAATTGACAGGGGTGGTAGTGTCTATTAGGAGGGAATAGTATGCCAATTTGATGTTGCCAGTTGTATTTCAAGATATAACGTATCAGGTGAGTGGAGTGTACCATTTAATTGACAGGGGTGATTTAGCCGACTGGTCAGTCCACCATTTTAACAGGCATAATTTCATGCAAGTTGGACTGGATGTCAATTTCTGAGAGGTACGATATGTAGATAAATGTTTGTTACAGTTTTTCATTCTTTACAGGTATTTGTTCGAACAAGACCGTATTTTAAAGAGTTTTTAGAAGCAGTTTCACAACAGTTTGAGGTTATTTTATTCACTGCGTCAAAGAAGGTGTATGCCGATAAGTTATTCAATTTGTTGGATCCACAAAAGAAATACGTCAAGTGAGTCAACGTTTGTTTTTCAACCCGAGAGAATGGGGCGACTTTGGTCTAATACGAACAATTCTCTAATATTCTGTCGCTGTATCTCGTTGGATGAGCAAAGAATTGATTACTTTTATTCTTTTGTTGTGTTCGAAAAAAAAATTGTTGGTAAAAATTAACATAATAATTTGCATAATTATTTCAACACTTTGAGCGCCAAAATCGACTTTCGTCACTGTTTAGATAAGAAATGTGACATTCCTAGATTTTGTCCAAAATTGTAATCAAGACCACTAGCTTATGCACATTTGGTTCAAAATTATAGAAAAATATACTTCTGCGTATTATGAGGTTATTACGAGGATACTGTAAAGTACGCACAAAGACAGTACAGTGTAAGTATTGACACACAGCGGAGGTCGTTGTGACAGCGTACTGTCTGAGTGCATACTTTACGATATCCTCGTAATAACCTTATTATGCACCCTTTCCTTCCAAGGATACATCATGGGTATGCCGAAATCTAAAAAGTTTAAAGCAGAATCAGCGAACTTCTTTGTGTGGAGTTCGGTCAAACCCTCGTGGCAGCCATGTTTGTTTTTATTATTGGAGGACACTTATGCGTGTAATCATTCCGTATTTGTAATTCAAATTTCCTAATATGCTTGGATGAAATTCCCAGTAAAATACCACAACATCATAGCACGTTGTAACTTGAGGGTTACAGGGAAAGATGTATAATAATATTGGTGATTATCGATGTATTTTGTGTGGGATGTTATAAGTACTAAACTGATTGATCTCAAGTTGCTTTTTTTTGTTTGTTTGTGCACTTTAACTTCATAAATAAAATTTTTTGTTTAGGTATCGTCTTTTCCGAGAACACTGCGTATGTGTGCAAGGCAATTACATCAAAGATTTGGGAATTCTGGGAAGGGATCTATCACGAGTCATAATTGTGGACAATTCACCGCAAGCATTTGGTTATCAGGTAAATATGCTGCCCAGTCGCCTCTCTTTGGCACGACGGTCTCTTTGTCACGACGACCTCTCTTTGCCATGTCGGCGTCTTTTTGGCACAACGCCCCTCTCTTTGCCACGTCGGCCTCTTTTTGGCACAACGCCCTCTCTTTGCCACGTCGGCCTCTCTTTGGCACGACGGCCTCTCTTTGCCACGCCGGCCTCTCTTTGCCACGCCACGACGGCCTCTCTTTGCCACGACGGCCTCTTTGCCACGACCTTGGCCTCTCTTTGGCTGTGTGCGCTTCACTGAATTGAACATATTGATTTGTCCAACAATTTGTCGTAATGACTGACGTTTGCAAGTGGAATATATAACATGTTTTTCTTTACAGCTTTCCAATGGTATCCCAATAGAGAGTTGGTTTGTAGACCAAAACGACACAGAGTTGTTGAAACTAGTTCCTTTTCTTCAATATCTTGTACAGTCGGTAAGTACATCAATTAAATACTGTAGAATGCTTTATTTTCGCTGAAGGGATGATTCCGTGAAAATAACATACAACGAATATACTTTTTTTCCTATATTTCACATTAAACTCAACAAAAATCAGTGAAAATAAATTCCATACAAAATGGCCAAAAAGCCTTTTCAGCGAAAATAAAGTATTCCACAGTATGCAAATGTTATTCTAATCAGTATGCAAAAGTTATGCTAATCAGTATGCAAAGGTTATGCTAATCAGTATGCAAAGGTTATGCTAATCAGTATGCAAAGGTTATGCTAATCAGTATGCAAAGGTTATTCTAATCAGTATGCAAAGGTTATTCTAATCAGTATGCAAAGGTTATTCTAATCAGTATGCAAAGGTTATTCTAATCAGTATGCAAAGGTTATTCTAATCAGTATGCAAAGGTTATTCTAATCAGTATGCAAAGGTTATTCTAATCAGTATGCAAAGGTTATTCTAATCAGTATGCAAAGGTTATTCTAATCAGTATGCAAAGGTTATGCTAATCAGTATGCAAAGGTTATGCTAATCAGTATGCAAAGGTTATGCTAATCAGTATGCAAAGGTTATGCTAATCAGTATGCAAAGGTTATGCTAATCAGTATGCAAAGGTTATGCTAATCAGTATGCAAATGTTATGCTAAACAGTATGCAAAGGTTATGCTAATCAGTATGCAAAGTAGGCACAGCATTCAGTTCTTTACCTGTGGATAACCTTGTAATGTCTACACTGTTGAGCTTTAGCCATTTTTTTAACCACCAACTTTTTTGATAATTTTGAACCAAACCAACATAACTTGCTATTTGTCACATGTCTTAATAAAAATTTTAGAGAAAATGTGGGTTAAAAATTTGTGAATAGTGACAGAATTGACTTTGGTGTTCAAACCATTTCTACTTTGTAGTATACTGTTTAACATGTTGAAAAAGCGGCATGCAATTTGAGCGAATTGTGGCAAAAAGACGCAATAGCGAAATGTTGATTTAGCGAATCTCTCTTGTCATTGCTGATTTCCTTGTTTGGCGGCCATTTTGAATTGATAATAAAGTCAATAGTGACATCTTGAAATAGCGAATCAGTTCTCTCGCTAAATTCGAGAAAAAGAAATGCTTGGGAAAAAGACGTGTTTTACAGTATGCAGTACACCTTATAGTAATTTTCAGCTATCATCACTATGAAAATGAAATTCTGTTGGTATGGCAACAAATCCTAAATCTTCCCAAAGCCATTAAGAGCAGCATGTAAAGTCAAGAAAGAAATAATTAAAAATGTGAAAAAAGGAACTGTTCAGGAATTGGAGGAAATAACACACAAACATCTTGTCTTGCAGAGAGAAGATGTTCGACCACATATACGGGAGCGCTATCGGATGCACGAGTTATTACCAAGTGACTGAAAGCTTGTCGGCGTCAGCCGCTAAAGACAATCCAATTACTGTATTATAATCGTATTTTAGCCGAAAATATTATGAACCTCTTTGTAATTAGTTGTCTGCAGTCGTTTTAAAAATGGACGCAAGCATCCGTAGCGACTATCATGAAAAGCAAGTCTGCGAAATAATTGGGCATCCGTCATTTTAGCTTTACATGTTTCAGCAAGTATTATCAGCGTAATTATTTTCAGTTTTTTTTCTTTTATTTAAAAACAAAACAAAAGGAAGTCTTCATTGTTGTATTTTCTGCAGTCTATTTTGAACTGTAAAGTACCAGAATGTGTGACCCCCTTAGGCATGACAGTACAAGTATGCTGTGACCCCTATGTCATGAAAGTACCAGGATGTTGTGACCCCCTGTGTCATGAAAGTACCAGGATGTTGTGACCCCCCTGTGTCATGAAAGTACCAGGATGTTGTGACCTCTGTGTCATGAAAGTAGCAAGATGTGAGAGTTAGTCATTTTTTCTAATGGTTAACTTTGGGGGAAAGAGGGGGAGGGGGCACCAAATCAAAAATTGCAATATTTACAGATTTTATGTCATTTATAATATTGTTCTGTTCACTGGATTTGTCAAATTAGTGTTATCAAAAATGAAAATTTTGTGGTTAGTGAATTTTTTTTTATTCTTGGATAAAACAGTCAAATTGTATCTGGTCACTTGGCATGATGTGAACTCCTTACAATTTGGCAGTTTGGTTCTCATTACAGTGTATTTTAATCCAATTTTTTACGCTTTTTAGATATTTCAACTATTAGTTAGTGCTTCCATTCATCATTTTACAACTGGAGGCCATGTTCACTTTTCTATTGGGTCAAAGGTCAATGCCTCTCTTTCGGTCAAAGGTAAACGCCTCTCGCTTCATCACATAAAAAATGGCAGATATTTTTTTCTGTTTTTTCTAAATTTTAAGGTCAATCCTAGATGGCTGCCAGTCTTTGTTTTTAGTCGCCATTTTATTTGTCACTTTTCTCTTCATTTTTTTTGTTTTTCCGCTTTGAATGCAGACGTGTACAGATTGAACTTTTTTAAAGACAAGATGTAAATAAACATATTTCATGATCTGCGAAAAAGTTTAAAAATTAAAAATTTTACAGAAATGTTTTTTCCCAGAAACCCAAGAAAAAATCTGTTTTAATTGTGTAGAAAGATATGTATTTGTCTGCCTTGAATTTATGACATTGTAATTTTTTATCCTGTAAGCAATAATTATGTCTTTTGCAGATTATGATATATTAAGTAACATTTATAACACATACAAAATTATCTATAAACCTGTTGTGAAGGGTCACGGGTTGAAGGTCAAAGGTCATCTAATCTACTCTCGTAATCGCGTCATTTTGTGTGTAATAATTCATCCAATTTTTTTTCAAGGAAATTAAATGCTTTCTGCTTCAAATTTTAAATACTCTACTGCTAATAAAAATTATTTCATTCCAAATTGTTCAAATTGATTTAATTGCTAATGCCGCCTCGAAATAATGTTGCCATGGGCTGCCATTGTCTCGTGTAGTTGCCATGGGCTGCCATTGTCTCGTGTAGTTGCCATGGGCTGCCATTGTCTCGTGTAGTTGCCATGGGCTGCCATTGTCTCGTGTAGTTGCCATGGGCTGCCATTGTCTCGTGTAGTTGCCATGGGCTGCCATTGTCTCATGTAGTTGCCATGGGCTGCCATTGTCTCATGTAGTTGCCATGGGCTGCCATTGTCTCATGTAGTTGCCATGGGCTGCCATTGTCTCATGTAGTTGCCATGGGCTGCCATTGTCTCATGTAGTTGCCATGGGCTCATGTAGTTGCCATGGGCTGCCATTGTCTCATGTAGTTGCCATTGTCTCGTGTAGTTGCCATGGGCTGCCATTGTCTCGTGTAGTTGCCATGGGCTGCCATTGTCTCGTGTAGTTGCCATGGGCTGCCATTGTCTCGTGTAGTTGCCGTGGCTGCCATTGTCTCGTGTAGTTGCCGTGGCTGCCATTGTCTCGTGTAGTTGCCGTGGGCTGCCATTGTCTCGTGTAGTTGCCGTGGGCTGCCATTGTCTCGTGTAGTTGCCGTGGGCTGCCATTGTCTCGTGTAGTTGCCGTGGGCTGCCATTGTCTCGTGTAGTTGCCGTGGGCTGCCATTGTCTCGTGTAGTTGCCGTGGGCCGCCATTGTCTCGTGTAGTTGCCGTGGGCCGCCATTGTCTCGTGTAGTTGCCGTGGGCCGCCATTGTCTCTTGTAGTTGCCGTGGGCCGCCATTGTCTCTTGTAGTTGCCGTGGGCCGCCATTGTCTCTTGTAGTTGCCGTGGGCCGCCATTGTCTCTTGTAGTTGCCGTGGGCCGCCATTGTCTCGTGTAGTTGCCATGGGCCGCCATTGTCTCATGTAGTTGCCATGGGCCGCAATTGTCTCGTGTAGTTGCCATTGGCCCGTGTAGTTGCCATTGGCCCGTGTAGTTGCCATTGTCTCGTGTAGTTGCCATTGTCTCGTGTATTTGCCTGGGCCGCCATTGTCTCGTGCAGTTGCCATGGGCTGCCATTGTCTCGTGTAGTTGCCATGGGCCGCTATTTGTTAACATTGTTGAAGTAAGATAAGCATCTCAATTCTGTAATTATTCAGTGCAGCAACAGATTGAACACTGCAATATCAAGATACTTACGTTGACAACTGCAGCAGTGCCCATAAGTAACGAGAATTTGGAAAATCGGTGACAAAACTATGCGAACATCACAAGATGCTAATCTTCGAGCAATTTATATAGACCAGTTTAATGATTTTAGCCCCAACATTTTCTCTCCGCCAGACTTAACATTTTGCTTGTTTTTATGTATTTTTTTGTGATAATTTTGGACGAAATGAAGTCTTGATCAAAATTCTGGAAAAATTATGTGGGTTAAAAGTTTGTGAACGATGACAAAACTCGACTTTGGTGTTCGAAGAGTTGATGATTTGGCGCGGTGTATCCGAGTACTGTAAAATGGTTAATTTTTCACTGGGTTTTATTTTCACTTATTTCGCTGACTGGAAAATGCGCTAAATTAAAACCTAGTGAATATGCAAAATTTAGCATAGAACATATCTTAAATGATGAAACCGTGAATTTAAAACCCACTGAATATGCCTGAAATGGTAAATCAGCGAAATTTAAACCCAGTAATTTTACAGTATTTGTCATTTCCTTTAAGTTTATTGGATGGATTATTATGCTAAAAATGTTGCTTAAAATCAAATATTTCTAGTTATGTGCAATCAAGTTTACCTTGCATTGTCATTAAAAAAAAAAAAAAAAAAAAAAAAAAAAATTCCTTTGTGTAATTTTGACCTGCACTGCTTTTTGTCCAAACACGTGTATAATTATTTAAAAAAACATTGTATGTTCATATTATATTTCGATCACACCAAATTTTTGAATTCGTTACCATAGCAACAGGATTCTGTATTTTCAGTAAATAGAGTATTTTTAAATTTGTTGTTTAGCACCTTCAAGTTTATCTTTTATGGAAATGTTGTATATACAGTATGATATAAAACCACCTTGTTATGTTATAGTAGAGCGCCCTCTGCAGTTTGGCCCAGGCATTTTTCTGGCTTGCTTTCTCGCCCTATGAAGTAATTACCCTTAAGTTAGTTAATTATGTTCTAGATCCACCTAACTCACAATGAGAAAGAGTACCACACCCAAATCATGGACCATATCTGCGGTTACATAAAACAGGGGAACAGAATGGAACATCATTTGAAAAGGAAAAACGAGTTCTTGACTGCCATTTTCGTGTTCTTTCTGTTACATTGTTTTATATTCATTATAGCCAGAACCTTAATCTTGATGATGGAAAATATTCACAAAAGTAATATTTTTCAACTTTATCACATAATAAAGAACACTGAAATACTCTTTGCTTTGTTTGTAACCGAATCTCGTCAGTTATGCGCATGTCTATAGTATATGACGCGAGACATGCTACGCATAGTTCGTATAAATTGCTCCCTCTTGTAGTGCAATGCATACGAGTAAAAGCAATTCAAGTCGTTCAATTCGACAAATGTTTGGTTGTATAGTCTTGCCTTCTGGATGAAAATAAAACGTCTTAAAGCAGGGGAGTCGTCGCATGCATCAGATGGCCATAGCATGTCATTGTTTACAAACAAGTGTCTACCCATGAACCTTTAAGTTTTTAGCGCGTGTTATCGTCGCGTGGGAATCAATTCCCGCGCAGGTGACGACGCGCCTGCTTTAAAAACTGTCTTTATTGATGGACGACTACAGATCAAAAGGAAACAAATCTTGCGTGTTCATTAACGTCACTCAAGGGTGACATTTATAGCAATGTATTGTATTTTGTGTGTCAAGTTTTGTTCTGAGAATTGCCAATTCAATAAGTTTGTTTAAGCACTTTTACTGAACCTTATTGTAAGTGGCCCTGGAGGTTTTAATGAACTTGCCAAGATATGTGACGCATATAGGCAATTTTCCGTTCAACTGCGAGATTTCGGAAGTTGCGTGAAAGATGTCTAATGAATGTCTGGCACTAAAATTAAACGATTTGATTTTGAACTTGAATTTCTTTATTTCGTAACTCGCATCGAAAGGGCGTTTTTTTTTTTACAGGGGAATAGCACGTTTGAATACCCTTGCTTCATCGAAATTCACCATCATCAAATGTGTACAGCACATTATTAAGCATGGAATTTTTTCTTTGTAATACGTTTGTGTTTGTCGAATCCAACGTGATGTTTGTCTTCGTGACTCCGCTATGACCTTTGTTTGTCCTGTTTTTTTCTTTCGATTTCATGCATAACACAGGATCTTGCAGTGAACGGGAATTAGTCAATTTCACGCAATTCGAATACAGTAAATAAAGTGTAGTATGAGTGTGTATCATCTAACATGGACTCCTTAAGACGTGCGTTATGAACTCTTGTTCATTCATATATTTCAAGGCACTTAAGTGGTACTGATCAAAACTGAAACTACTGTAGAATACTTTATTTTCGCTTGGAATTTATTTTCGCTGAAGGGACGATTCCGTAAAAATAAAATCCAGCGAATATCTTTTTTATCCTATATTTCACATTAAACTTATCAAAAATTAGTGAAAATAAATTCCAAACAAAATTCCCAAAAAGCCTTTTCAGCGAAAATTAATTCCAGCAAAAATAAAGTATTCCACAGTATTTCTCCTTTAACCTTTTCAACGCCAGTTCTCTCTTTTCATCACAAAATAGCCCATTTATAGTCAACAAAAATAGGTGACTTTTTTGAGTGAAAAGTGAAATTCAACTCAAACTTTGACTTTGTTGCCTCCAAAATTAGGATACATTTCCAGAAATATTGAATAGTAAAAGAAAAAGTGACTAAAAATTGGGGTGAGAAAATCTGGTGGTGAAAAGGTGCAAGGTGGCACAATGTAATTTTCAAAGTTAAGTGTGTAGCTGACATAATTGTGTCAATTTTTTTTGTTGCTTTGTAACATAGTTTCCTATTGGGTCACGAGTGATTTAAATTGACAAAAGCCACGAAGTCATCCAATCAAAATGGATGTTCTGATTGAAGCAGGAGATTGTTGTGAGATTAAATGATGTAAAGTTAGGATTTTTAAATGCTGTTTTTTTTTCAACATCATTTTTCATTGGTTCGTTGGCAAATGAAAGACTCCAATCAAAACGAACGGGGGGTTAAAATTACGATGAAAGAGGTGATTTTTAAGAGATGTTTTTTTAATTCTGAACTTCTTGTATAGCTGTACATGTTTACTTGGTATATATTGTTTATTTCTTTTCTGTTGAGAATAGAATTAAAATAAACTTGAGGAAATTCTGTCTCCTGTGATTAATCAGGACTTCCACCCAAGTTTTTAGGGCAAGTTATCTGTGTACTGAGGAATCGGTACAGCACAACACACAACAATAACATTTTTGGAGTAAAAACTGAACATTACACAAACTTTGTCTGTTGGCTCGAAAATTAAGGTTTAGTTTCAGAAATATTGAGAGATATAAGAAAAAAAAGTACATAAAAAATTGGGTGAGAAAGTCTGGTGGCGAAAACGTTAATCTAAAACAAACCAGCATTCACAATGTCCAGCTGCAGATCTCTGCGCCAATGGCAAGCTATTTTTGATAAAACAAAAGTAATGACATACCTCAACTATAGAGGGCAGTATACTGCAGCAGGTCTTGCTAACCTCGTACACTGTTCCACTGAAAGATGTTTGAAGTGCAGTGGTGGTGGTCGCACAGCCCATATTCGAATTTTATGTAAACGAGGGATTTTACACGGTTGTATTTTGGAGTCTCGTATCGAACAAAATGTGCGACGATCATCCTTTAATTTGCAAAAAATTTTCACCGAATTGAACACATGCCAAACTAAGTTCAATCGCCCTACTAGCTCACTTGCACCGTAATTGAAGTTGTCAATATCAAAACAGATGCCACCCATACTTAAAGAGACAAGTTTCGTGTAAATGTATTACACACTATGAATCCCATATGCAGCGAGATGTACACTTTCCTTTAATACATTACCAATTTCTAACGCCCCAGAGAATTTGCAACAATTTTAAAAAAAGCTGGGTTCCTAAAGCAAGTCTGAGAAGTATTGGGGCAGCAAATAAGCCAACTTGCTCACAATTTTGGTTTTGACTGAAGCAGATGACCTACAAGTTCAATATTTACCCTTCAATCTGTCGCCAAATGCTAATAAACATCTTAAAAAAAACAACAGTATTTCAAACAAGTTTTAAGTTTACGCAACTAAAAAGTATACAAAATTGTTGCTAACTTGCGACCCCAATACTTCTAAGACTGTAAAAATTAACTTGATGCATAGAGCAGGGAACTACCAATGTACAAGTTTCACAATCTTTAGTGGCTCGCAAAGGTACAAGTACAAGAAGGCATAACAGCACTTTTTAAATCTGGTGACCAGTTTGGTATCGTAGAAAGAGTGTACAGTCTTCTGATAAAAAAAAATATGTGCATGTGTCATTTCATAATAAATGCTTTATTAAAATTGCACCTTATAAAATAATATTCTCGAGATATGTCTGTTGTACGCATGCTTCAGGTAATTATGTATTCACAATGTACGTCCTAATATTTTTCAAAAATCACTATTTTTAGAACAGTTCCATAGAGCGCATTGTTAAACAAAAATTGCATTTTTTGTCACATTTAAAAACCCAGATTTTTGAAAAAAATCAGGAAAACAAAGAATCCCATCATTTACAATATATTATTTTTTTCAGCCAATGTCACCAGCGTACAATTTGAGATATGGCATAATTTCTCTGTCTATGGATCTACATCTGCACACACTTTGAGTCTGACATCACCATCCATTCTTTCACAATTCCCCTCACAACCATCTACATTGTCTCCTTCCTCAACACACAAAGGCACAATCCAAACAATCAACAGATATTAAAGCGCGGTAGCCGTCGCACTGCGCATGTGCGACATTTGTGTTGATAAACATTGATTTTCCCACAATCCAATGCGCTCTTCAAATGGAAATCACAAGTATGAGGTTTGACACGGGTGCGACTTGCACTGATTACCGCCGGTGACTCCTTCGATACCTTCCAATCACATAAAAATTGCCTAATTAAAGCTTGGAAACGTCTCGGTTTGTACTCGTTGATCTGTGCAACAAAGTCGCCATCTTTGTTTATACGAGACCCATATATCTCGCACATGTGCAGCGCGTCTACTACCGCGCTTTAAATTGTCCATGTCTATTTCACTGAATTTCTAATTCTGGTTCCCAAAACTCTGGATTTAGAGTAGTTTAAAAAGTTGTATAGTAAAGCAGAAAAAAAACAAAAAAAAGATCTTGTTCAGCCATTGACAAATCTCAATTGATTTTAAGTACCGGTACATATGCAAGGCAGAAGCTGCTCTGATTGCTCTTGCAGTTTTGCATAGACTCAAAAATTTAGCCATTGCCAGCAGAATCTTAACCTACCATAGGGAACTGGTGCATGGTAAGGCCAAAGAAAAAAATTGTACCGTCTTTCCAGTAGCAAGCTAACAAAATATTGGATAGGCTGGGGTTTTTTTTTTACTTATTTTTGCCACAATCGTGCCTTTAAATACAAAATTAAAATCAGGAAAGAATAATCACTGATTGCAGTTTGTTGTGGATTCACTACATAACAAGTCATTGAAAATGACACAGTCCCAGTTAAATTTTTGAAAGTTTTTTGTGCTCGTCATATTAAAGCGGAGGGGTTGCAGCGAGCGTGTCCTTCAAACTTGAGTTCCAAGTGACGTATATAACAGATTGTTTATTTACATCAAAACGCGCGTTCCGTGTAGTAGTAATATGGCAAAAATAAAAACGGCTGTTATTCGGCCATCTTTGATCTGGTTATGAAACACACTGATATGTATGATGTATGTGCCAAATACGAATGAAAATGGTACATAAATTGTGGAAATATAGTAGTAAGGCCAAAAAGTCAGATGGCTGTCAATCGGCCATCCTTGACCAGATTTTGAAACAAATTGTCATGGACATGCATCCTAACATGTATAAAGTACATGTATGTGCCAAATTTGAATGAAAACTGATAGAGCACGTCCAAGATACCGCATAAAAAAAACAAGATGCCTGCCAGTCAACCATCTTTGATCCAATTGCGAAATAAATCGTCATGGACATGTATCCGAGCATTTATAATCTATGTACCAAGTTTGAATGACAACTGACAAAGCATGTCCAAAATACAACATTTTCAAAAAACAAGATGGCTGCCAGTCGGCCATTTTGAATCGAATCGCTAAACCACTGCATGTGCACATGTCCCACATAAAGTCCTCGGCACATGCAAAGAATGAACGGAATCGGCCCAAGGGATTCTGAGATACGACTCTGGACGGACGGACATACAGACGCACGGAGACCGAATTATAAGTCCCCGTTTTCGGACTTTGACTAAAAATAATGGCTACTTTGCAACAAATTAAAGTTTGCGTCCACCAAAAACGTAGCGTTATTTGAAAAAAAAATTTCTGCCTACTTGCACAAACATTAAAATGACAAATGACTTAGCCTGTACAACTTGGCATCAAATGTGTATTCAATTTTATATGTCAAAGGTCAATCTAACCCTGGCAAAAAACAATCAATCTTTTCACCACCAAATTTGTCTGCACATTTTTTCAAATATTTATCCAATATTTTGTAAATTTTTGTGGGAACAGTGGTGAAAAGATCAAGAGCCGCGACCTCTACTTTCACAAAAAGTAAATTATCCATACTAATAATAGACATAATAGATTATAATAACTTTATTTAATCATTATCATTCATTATCAAAATCACTCGGCCAGAAATCATCTGTCATGAAAGATTTCAAGTGCACATCAGTATTCTTATTTTTACTGATTTTAAATAAATCCATGGCAGCCCGAGCATCTTCTAAAGAGCAGTGTTCACCTTGCTGTATAGTCCTGTGTAAGAGTTGTTTACTTAAACGCTTTAGACTTATCGGTGTACTCGTTTCCATTCCCACTAGCCGTCTTAGGTGCACACACTTCGAAGTATCGGCTATCTGCTCGAAAGGATGGCGAAGATGCAATGCTTGTAGATCGTTATGCAAGGCGTGCCCGATTAATATTTTCCCATCTATGAGTTGCTGTACGTGATTTTGAACTTGGAAGAATGGTAGACCTCGTTGGATGTGCTCTTTACGGATCCCACTCCACGGTGTGCGGTAATCTGTTACAGGGACGTCAGGTTTGACGTAAAGGTCACACAAGCATTTGCCGTGGTAATCCACAACTGTGCAACGTGCTAATGCACTCTCTTTTGCCATTGGTCCAACGCCAACCATCTCACAATCCAACGCCACGTACTGTTCACAGTCCACGTCACCACATTTCTTGCAGTTTAGCGACTCAATGTACTGTATGGACACATTCTTCTGTTTTCATTTCCCCGTAGTCAACAACCGTCGAATACGGCTTGAAAGAGATTTCTTCTTCTTCGCTTTCAACGTTTTTCGTTCCATGGGTAATGATGTTGAGGGCAGTCTTCGTTCAGATGGTTTGTTTTGAATAGATTGTACTGGCATAGCAGGCATTTTCAAATCTGAAAAAAATAAATATTTGTTTATAATTTGACATTGACACATAGACATATAGAAGTACAAACAAAGATGGCACCATGGTGTTACCATAGCAATGCCATTATACTGTAAAGGACTTAATTATTAGCTGGGTTTTTAATGTTGTAACCCCTGTGTCATGAATGTACCAGGATGCTGTGACCCCTGTGTCATGAGAGTACCAGGATGTTGTGACCCCTGTGTCATGAAAGTACCAGGATGTTGTGACCCCTGGTTTTTAATGTTTGCTATTTTACTGGCAGATAAAAGTTAGGAAGCCAGTGAATATGCTAGATTAACATAATACATTGTTTTCTTCACAAATCAGTGAAATTAATTAATCTTTTGACCACCAGACTTTCTCGCCTAAATTATTCTGCACTTTTTTCTTATATTCAATATTTCTGGAAATAAACCCACATTTTGGAGCAAATATTCAAAATTTGAGTCAATTTTCAGTTTTTACTCAGCAAATTTGGCTTTTTTTGCCCCAAACTTCTGAAGGAAAGTGTAGACAGGAATATTTTGTGAATTTGGGAGGAAACTGACGGTGAAAGGGTTACAAATTTCAGTAAATATTACTCCCACTTGAGCACCATCCTATGGTTACCATGGTAATACCATGGTGATGCCAAATCAATGCCAACAGATCGCATTTTAACAATGCGGTAATTCATTTTCGCATTGCGTTGAAAAAAAATTACATTGTCGGTAATCGGTTAATTTCGTCAGTATGACACAGAATTTTGATTGGTTAAAGACCTGACATACAAGGTCAAAGCACGTTGTTTCAGGTCAAATTGTGCTGAAAAACATCATGGCAGAAATTGTTAGGCATAGAGAGATTGTGTGTGATCAAAAACATTCCACAACAATGATAATGATAAAGATTTTGCCTTTGACCTTTTTTCCACAAACCCTACCAATTTTTAAACCATAAATCCAGACGGTATGTAGATCGTAATGTAATAAAATGCATGTATTTTTATTAACATATTTTTTTTATATGAAAATCAATGACGAGCAAAATTTTAGCTCATCACTTACTGCGAAATACGTTATTTTCGCTTGGAATTAATTTTCGCTGAAGGAATGATTCGGTGAAAATAAAATCCAGCGAATATACCTTTTTTCTTATATTTGACAATAAACTCATCAGAAATCAGTGAAAATTAATAATGCCATACAAGATACCCAAAAACACTTTTCAATGAAAATTAATTCCAGCTAAAATAAAGTATTTTACAGTATCCAATTTATTTTCAGCAAAATCATTGACCACATACGGCTACAACGAATAATAATTCCCACAATGCTTAATTAAAAAGATTGTGGTTACGCTAAGACAAGTGATGTTGCTGTCTCATGATAAAGTGTTTTTTTTATAAATTTGGCCAATGCAATATTCAGACTGGTTACAAACCACATCGAGGTCACGACTCGGTTAGCCTTGCTCAACTGGTTCGTAACCAGTCTTGTGATTGGTTGTTGACAAATGCTGAACAGGCCATGCCTCCAATGGTGTCATGCGTTCGGACTAACCATTAGGAATTCCTAAATGGAGTCAAT